CCTACAGTGTTGAACGTGCTCGGATTCGTTCCACAGTTGCTGGTCTGCTCTCAGAAGGCCTTGCTCACATCCCTCCTCACCTGTTACTCTGTCACTCTGTACTGATGCTTCTCTGTTATATCTCAAATCACATTTGCTACCTTCCTTTAGGATCTCAGCAAAGCCGGTGTATGGTAGGTGGGAAGCAATTTCATGAAACAACCCTCCAGCCACCAGCATCTGTGCTCACTGAATGTCTTAGAAAAAGATGTGGCCAGTGGGTGGCAGTGTGGGTAAGAGCCAGCCACATTTCTTTTGATAGATATACTTAGGCTGGGTTTTAAACAGAAACAGCCTGCTAACGGCTGTAGGGACATGGCAGGTTTTAGAGTGGGACACAATTTCACCAAACATTGGGGCCCCTGGCAGGAGGTGGCTGGTTGTGTCTGTCACCTCTGGGGCAGCTAGTGAGATCCTGATCCACAGCACAGAGCAAAGGGCACAGGTTGACCTTGCTCTCCTGAGGCTCAGGGACTTGCAGAAGGTCACTCCCAGCTGTCCCTATTTCTCGTTCAGAAAACATAGCTGTGTCACTTTAGAGACATTCTTAATGTCAGTGGCATCCACTGTGTGGATCCAGGAACAACTTACTTTGTAAGTTACAGTGGTTTTAGCATTCAGTAAGCTTTCATTTTAGAAAACCATCCTTGAGTCAGCACCTAGGATTATCTGGACTGTTGACTCAACATTTTTAATGAACAGAATGAATACTACGGTGGAAAGTTACTGCAATGTCTAAGGAAATAATCAATGTACACACATTTATATAAACTTTTTCTTTCTTTCCTTCCTTCCCTCTTTCTCCTTCTCCTCTCTTGTCTGTTTCTTCATTTTTGAGACAATGTCTCACTAAGTAGCCATGACTGGGCTCGAGCTCACTGTGAGTAGACTAGGATGACCTTGAACTTAGAGCCATCCACCTGTTTCTGCCTGCTGAGTTTTTACAAATTCGGATTGTTGCACTGTTTGTACTGCTGAGCAGAGATATTATGTGGGGCAAACAACAGTTACATTCTTGCAGGGAAGTTATCCTGTTGCAAACACAGAGTTCACATGTTACAAAATTCTTGTGCAATTTCAGTTGAAACATACTAGCAAAGAGATGGGGTGGGGAAGCTCACTTAATGCTCAGAGTCTCCCTATTAATCCTAGATGGGCAAAAGTCTGTTCAAGGTTCATTCATCAGGAACACAAATGTTCTGATTATGCTTGTGAACTAACTTACTGAGGGCAGTGTAACAGGGCCAACTATGCCATCCTTTCTAAAGGGGAAACAGACTTGCCAACATAAACTATTGTTAGGCTTCCTGGAACACATTTTAAGTGAGGGCTGTTCACACTGGCCATGTAGCTTTATACTTGACAATTCGCTTAGTCAACTTTCAGAGTGGACCTAGACATAAAATCCTGTCAGACACATAATACATGAAGAATTAAAAACAAAAACCTTTAAAACTATATACTTTTCTCTACACTAGCCTTTCTACATATATATAAAAAAAATCTATGCTCCATTTTGGTAATAGTATTTATATCGTGAATTTTTAACACATTTTACTTATTTATACAATTAAGAACTTAATGAAAATACTTAACTTATTCCCGAAAGACTACTTTTAATAAAAGAAGTAAAATTGCATGAATCTATATTAAAAATAAAATCCCATATCTTCCTTGGAAAAGAGCCATGGCACACACCTTTAATCCTAGCACTCAGGAGCCAGAGGCAGATCAATCTCTGACTTAGAGGCTACTCTGGTCTACAAAGTGAGTTCCAGGGCTATACAGAAAAACCCTGTCTCAAAATAAATAAATAAATAAATAAATAAATAAATAAATAAATAAAATAATAAAATAAACAAACCAAACAAAATCCTATGGTCACTTGTGAGTTGTGAAAGGAAAAGAAGGATTCTAAGGAAGGACCCAAAGACAGAAGGAAAAGCTGCAGCCAGGCTGTTTGCTGGCAACAGGCCAGGTACACGGAACCCAGTCCTGTGAGCACAGCACGTGAACAGATGTTAGGAGCCGCCAACTAGTACTGAAAAAGTATGGAAGAACAGTTGGAAAATCCCAAGATACACAACCAGCTTCCAGTAAATAAGCAGCTTATCTGGCGGCAGGAAGGAGAGAAAGCAGGTTGCTCCGAGGGTGGGCGCTCTCTCAATAGAGTGGGGGCCTCTCACTTTTGCACTTGGAGCTTCCAGGGCAGCAGAATAACAAGCACCTTGCTATAAAGAGAGAGGCACAGTCACCTTTGTGAGCAGACACTACTGACAGAGGCGGTACCTACCCCATCCCCTGACCCCTCCAGTGCAGCTAGCTTGGTGACTGAGGCAGCACACAAACAGGTCACCTGCCAATACTGAGCTTCTGATTCCTGGTACATAACATGAACACAGCCCCAAGGAAAACCAAAGCTGGTACTGACTGACCAGGTCCGCTGGGCACAGAAAACACCAGCACTCAATGCATTCCTAAAAATCTAATTTTGTATTGAGAGTCAAAGTAAAAAAGAAAGCAAAAATGGTTACCAAAGACGCTTTTTCAAAGAGAAGCAGAGGGTACCGACGGAGTGGCCTCTTGTCCCGCGATATTTCAGGTTACAGAACACACGGGCTCATTTATGTATCTCATAAAATGTGATGTAAATGATCACAATCAATCAAATCGAGCCACATTTTCTTCAAGCTCCAAGATACAAAATCCCGTCATATTGTTACGTTGCTTCTGGGTAGAGATAATGTTTGGTGATAGAAGCGACCACAAGTGTGGTGGTTGGCACACTCACTACCACAGCTTGCACATACTCGGTATGCGTGCAAGGGTGTGCAGTCACACACAATTGCACACGTACAGACACGAAACCATGGCATTTACTGATCTCTTATTTTTTTTTTTAAAGAGTGCGATTTAAAATGGAAGACCCAATTCAACGCACCCTTTGGAGGTCAACTTTATGATGATATTTACTACATGGATGGTTTCCCCCAAGTTTTTGCTATTCATCAATAATCATAACCATAGCTGTATACACGCTAAAAACAGAGCAGGTCCAATATTGGCTTGGGTTATCTTGGCACAAAATTCATCGTTAGGGTGTTTAAGGAACAGTTTATACAAAGGGTAGAGCATCTACGGTCTTCAGAATCACACTGTACAATTATTTTTCTTAAACCTGTCATTGTAGTTGCAATAATGATTTGTAAATTATGCAGGGCATTCCACGGCGAACTTCCAGGACTCAGTACAAAATAACCAAGGTTAAACTGTAAGATAAACTCTGGTCACGAATTGTTTCATTTAGATACTTTCTCCCTAGATGGGTAAGGGTTTGTTTTGTTTACGAATCCAGATCAGAATTCCAAGCCCGCCTTCTGTGAACTCGGATCATTGCCCTTCCTAGCAGCCCTCACGCTGTCAGTTAGGAGACATGACATGCAGGTGCTTATTTGCCCTCGACTTTGAAAGTCACAAAGGCCACGTAGATAGAGAAATTCAAAGCAGCAGTTCAAGGGCATCTTTGGCTTGGCGCTGTGCCCGCGGCCGCGCTCCTAGATTCGGCGACGCCCGCCCATAGTCCCGGTGCTGGGTGAGCATGGTTTGGGGCGCGGGCTGGGAGCGGTGAGGGCGCGGGGCGCGGAGAGGACGCCTGCCAGCACCCGCTCCCAGCTCCCCGCTGCCCCCCCCGCCCCCCCTTTCCCCGCACTATGGAAACCGCATTTTCCTACGCCAGCACGCCCTCCTCCTCTCTCCTATTACATCCAGAACAGGCGACTTCCACTTCCCGGGAACCTGACAAGTGAATGGCTCTGATGACGCCCCGGAAAGAGCCCACGGCCGGGGGCGGGGGCGGACGCCTGCGGAGGGTGGGGCGGGTTCCGGGGCGCCCCTCGCTCGGGTCGCCGCCGGGAAAGGGCACCGAGCTGCCATCGACCTGGAGCTCCCGGGCAACGATGCTCGTAAACAAGCCGGGCCGCGCGCCTGCCACCCACAGCGGGCACCGCCCTGCGCCGCGCGCCCACCCCGGCTGCTAGGGTCCGACCACCGCCCCGCACCAGCTCCGACCTCCCGCCCCCGTTCCCCCACCGCGGCGGAAGCCTGGGACCAGTTAGTAGGGCGCGAGGCGGGAGCATAAACCCCGCACCCTCCTTCTCCACGGCGGGCTTCCCGCCCTGGGTGGCATCGCCCCCGCCCGCATCCACAACGAGCCCCTGATTAATGAGCCTGGCCCGGCCCCCGCCGAGCCCCGGCCGGGCCTCGGAGGGGGAGGGGACGGCGGGAAACGCAGCCCGGTGTTGGCCCACCCCCCCCCCGCGCCTCACGCTCATTGGCGGGGCTCGCTGCCGGTCAGGGACCGCGGCGCCAATGCGGGGCGGAGGGGCGGGGCGTCGGAGCGAGTGTGCCTGCGTAACGCAGAGTCACGTGTTGTTTTGCTCTTAGTTCAGTCACTCGGTGCGCGATGTGTTACTCACTGTGCGGCGGGGACCGCGACAAGCCCGGGTCGTCGTTGGTGGCAGCAGCAGCAGCAGTAGCGGCAGCGGCAGACCCAGTGGCGGCGTGGGCCCCGAGTGTCCGGACCCAGACCGGCGTCGCACAGTGCCGAACGGTGGCAGCAGGCCGGCCGCGCGCGTTCTAAGCTCGTCCCCGCGGCTCGGGGACCCCGACTCTCGGCCCAGCCAGCCAGTCCCCGGGCGCCGCCCGAGAGCACGGGAGGCAGCGGCCGCGGACAGTCGAAGCGGGGGGCGGCCATCGCCCGCGCCGAGCATCCTTCGGAGCGGCGGAGGGCCCTGCGCCACCGAGCCGCGCGCGCCTCCTAGCCCACCGCCTGGGCCCGGGGGACGCGCGCGCGTGGCCGGGCGGCCGGGCGACGGGTGGCGGGGAGCCGCCCCCGCCCGCGCCCCTCGGCCCTCACCATCTCCTGTTTGCCCAGCCGGGCAGAGAGGCCTGAAGTGGCGGCGATGGCTAGTGCGCCCTTGCCTGGGCCCCCCGCGTCGGCGGGCGGGGACGGCCCGAACCTCAATAACAACAACAACAACAACAACAACCACAGCGTGCGCAAGTGCGGCTACCTGCGCAAGCAGAAGCACGGCCACAAGCGCTTTTTCGTGCTGCGCGGCCCCGGCACGGGCGGCGACGAGGCATCGGCGGCTGGGGGGTCGCCGCCGCAGCCTCCGCGGCTGGAGTACTACGAGAGCGAGAAGAAGTGGAGGAGCAAAGCGGGCGCGCCGAAGCGAGTGATCGCGCTCGACTGCTGTCTGAACATCAACAAGCGCGCGGACGCCAAGCACAAGTACCTGATCGCCCTCTACACCAAGGACGAGTACTTCGCGGTAGCGGCGGAGAACGAGCAGGAGCAGGAGGGCTGGTACCGCGCACTCACGGACTTGGTCAGCGAAGGCCGCTCTGGCGATGGGGGCTTGGGCACCTCCGGCGGCTCTTGCAGCGCCTCTCTCCCGGGAGTCCTGGGCGGCTCGGCGGGCGCCGCTGGCTGCGATGACAACTACGGGCTCGTGACGCCCGCCACGGCCGTCTACCGCGAGGTGTGGCAGGTGAACCTGAAGCCTAAGGGACTGGGCCAGAGCAAGAACCTGACTGGTGTGTACCGCCTATGCCTGTCTGCCCGCACCATCGGCTTCGTGAAACTCAATTGCGAACAGCCGTCGGTGACGCTGCAGCTTATGAACATTCGCCGCTGCGGCCATTCGGACAGCTTCTTCTTCATCGAGGTGGGCCGTTCGGCCGTCACCGGTCCCGGCGAGCTATGGATGCAAGCCGACGACTCGGTGGTGGCGCAGAACATCCATGAAACCATCCTGGAGGCCATGAAGGCACTCAAGGAGCTCTTCGAGTTCCGGCCTCGCAGCAAGAGTCAGTCGTCCGGGTCGTCAGCCACGCACCCCATCAGCGTGCCGGGCGCGCGCCGCCACCACCACCTAGTCAACCTACCCCCTAGCCAGACCGGCCTGGTGCGCCGCTCGCGCACTGACAGCCTAGCGGCCACCCCGCCAGCAGCCAAGTGCACTTCGTGCCGGGTTCGTACGGCCAGCGAGGGCGACGGTGGCGCTGCAGGCGGAGCGGGGGCGGCAGGAGGCAGGCCGATGTCGGTGGCGGGGAGCCCCCTGAGTCCCGGGCCGGTGCGCGCGCCCCTTAGCCGCTCGCACACCCTGAGCGCCGGCTGCGGAGGCCGCCCGAGCAAAGTGACTCTGGCGCCGGCAGGGGGAGCCCTGCAACACAGCCGCTCCATGTCCATGCCCGTAGCGCACTCGCCGCCTGCAGCCACCAGCCCAGGCAGCCTGTCCTCCAGCAGTGGGCACGGCTCCGGCTCTTACCCGCTGCCTCCTGGCTCCCACCCGCACCTGCCTCATCCTCTACACCACCCCCAAGGCCAGCGTCCGTCCAGCGGGAGTGCCTCCGCCTCGGGCTCCCCCAGCGACCCGGGTTTCATGTCCCTTGACGAGTATGGCTCCAGCCCTGGCGACCTGAGAGCCTTCAGTAGCCACAGAAGCAACACACCTGAGTCAATCGCGGAGACCCCGCCAGCCAGAGACGGCAGTGGGGGCGAACTCTATGGGTACATGAGCATGGATAGGCCCATGAGCCACTGCGGCCGCCCTTACCGTAGGGTCTCAGGGGATGGGGCCCAGGACCTGGATAGAGGACTGAGGAAGAGGACTTATTCTCTAACCACGCCTGCCCGGCAGCGGCAGGTACCTCAGCCTTCCTCTGCCTCTCTAGATGAGTACACTCTCATGAGAGCCACCTTCTCTGGCAGTTCAGGTCGCCTCTGCCCATCCTTCCCCACGTCCTCTCCCAAAGGGGCCTACAACCCTTACCCAGAGGACTATGGAGACATTGAGATTGGTTCTCACAAGAGCTCCAGCAGTAACCTTGGGGCAGATGATGGCTACATGCCCATGACCCCTGGGGCAGCCCTCAGGAGCGGTGGCCCCAGTAGCTGCAAGAGCGATGACTACATGCCTATGAGCCCCACCAGCGTGTCTGCCCCCAAGCAGATCCTGCAGCCGCGTTTGGCAGCGGCCTTGCCCCCCTCCGGAGCAGCCGTGCCAGCACCCCCTTCAGGGGTGGGCAGGACCTTCCCAGTGAACGGAGGCGGCTACAAAGCCAGCTCCCCAGCGGAGAGCTCCCCAGAAGATAGCGGGTACATGCGAATGTGGTGTGGCTCTAAGCTGTCCATGGAGAACCCAGACCCTAAGCTGCTCCCCAATGGGGACTACCTCAACATGTCCCCCAGCGAGGCAGGCACCACAGGGACCCCACCTGACTTCACAGCAGCTTTGCGTGGAGGCGGTGAGGGTCTCAAAGGCGTCCCTGGCCACTGCTACAGCTCTTTGCCCCGCTCTTACAAGGCTCCCTGTTCCTGCAGTGGAGACAATGACCAGTATGTGCTCATGAGCTCCCCTGTGGGCCGGATCTTGGAAGAGGAGAGACTGGAGCCCCAGACCACCCCGGGGGCTGGCACCTTTGGGGCAGCTGGAGGTAGTCATACCCAGCCTCATCACTCAGCAGTGCCTTCCTCCATGAGGCCAAGTGGCATCGGTGGCCGCCCTGAAGGCTTCTTGGGCCAGCGCTGTCGGGCAGTGCGGCCCACACGCCTATCGCTAGAGGGACTGCAGACCCTTCCCAGCATGCAAGAGTATCCTCTACCCTCAGAGCCCAAGAGTCCTGGCGAGTACATCAACATTGACTTTGGTGAGGCGGGTACCCGTCTGTCTCCGCCTGCCCCCCCACTACTGGCATCCGCGGCCTCATCTTCTTCACTGCTCTCGGCCAGTAGTCCTGCTTCATCCCTGGGTTCAGGTACCCCAGGCACCAGCAGCGACAGCCGGCAGCGCTCTCCGCTCTCTGACTATATGAACCTGGACTTCAGTTCTCCCAAGTCCCCTAAGCCTAGCACCCGCAGTGGGGACACAGTGGGCTCCATGGATGGCCTTCTCTCTCCAGAGGTCTCATCCCCATACCCACCGCTGCCCCCACGTCCTTCCGCTTCCCCTTCCTCCTTACAGCAGCCTCTGCCACCTGCCCCAGGAGACCTATACCGCCTGCCTCCAGCATCAGCTGCCACATCCCAGGGTCCCACTGCTGGCTCCTCAAAGTCCTCTGAGCCTGGAGATAATGGTGACTATACCGAGATGGCCTTTGGTGTGGCTGCCACTCCGCCACAACCTATCGCGGCACCCCCAAAGCCAGAAGGTGCCCGAGTGACCAGTCCCACATCGGGCTTGAAGCGGCTAAGTCTCATGGATCAGGTATCTGGGGTGGAGGCCTTCCTTCAGGTCAGCCAGCCCCCTGACCCCCACCGGGGTGCTAAGGTCATCCGTGCAGACCCACAGGGGGGACGTCGTCGCCACAGTTCAGAGACCTTCTCCTCTACCACCACCGTCACCCCAGTGTCCCCATCCTTTGCCCACAATTCCAAGCGCCACAATTCGGCCTCTGTGGAAAATGTCTCTCTCAGGAAAAGCAGTGAAGGCAGTGGCATCCTGGGAGGAAATGATGAGCCGCCCACATCCCCAGGACAGGCACAGCCCTCGGCAGCTGTGCCCCCAGTGCCACAGGCTAGGCCGTGGAACCCCGGTCAGCCTGGAGCTTTGATTGGCTGTCCTGGAGGCAGTAGTTCTCCCATGCGCAGAGAGACCTCCGTGGGTTTCCAGAACGGCCTCAACTACATCGCCATCGATGTGAGAGGCGAGCAGGGGTCGTTGGCGCAGTCTCAACCGCAGCATCCGCAGTCAGGAGACAAGAACTCCTGGGGCCGGACCCGTAGCCTTGGGGGTCTCCTCGGCACCGTCGGAGGCTCTGGAGCCAGCGGAGTGTGTGGGGGTCCAGGCACTGGAGCCTTGCCCTCTGCCAGCACCTACGCAAGCATCGATTTCCTGGCCCATCACTTGAAGGAAGCCACAGTTGTGAAAGGTGAGGCCCTTTGACCTTGAGGATGGGAGGGAGGGTGGAGTATTGAGTGGCTTTGGATGCTGCTCTTCCTAATATTTCCTTGACTTAATTGCCAACATGCTGGCTGGGCCTTCTCCCTGTTGGCTACCATGTCATTGTTGTCTTTCTCCAAAGAGCGAGCTTGGCAGGAACGAACGTCGACTTGGCTTTTGAATAGAATTGATGTCTTCCCCCGTAGTTGGGAGAGTTTGACCTTGTTTTAGGTCCAGCCATCTCTTGCCTGGGTTCTTGTGGTCCTGCCCTAACCTTCTGTCTCAGTGTAGGTTCTACAGAGTGGAAAGCTGTTTAGGTCTTTACAGTTGAAGGTGCTCAAGGCACCAGCTACTGGTTCTGTGTCAGCGACTGGGCCCCAGGTCATTGCTGCTCAGGTACAAGGCTTATTCAAACATACCCAAGAGCCCCTCATGAACTGAGCATGAGTCTCAATGGCTGCTCACATGGAGACTGTGACAAGCCTGTCCATCAGAGTCACCGTAGGTAATTCTCACAAGGGAAATGGTAGTAGCTTGGCTTGGCTTCCATACCCTGATGGCAGTGGTTCTCACCTGTGCGTAACTGGGAGTTTCCTGGAGGGTTTCCTGGCTGTGGGTACTAGGCAGGTAAACCTCCCAGGATTTCTGCTGCCGCGGGACCAAGACCTGGCAAAATGGCATTGTTACTAAGTCCTCCAGGTAAAGCTGGAGCTGTTGATGTGGGCACACCAGGTAGCAGATCCCTGGGGAGGTTTGAGAACTCCAGAGCCATTAGAAGGTCCTTGCGGGGTGGGTGGAGCAAAGGTTGGGGGTTGGCATAGGGACCGGATGGGCTCTGCTTCTCAGAGCACCCCAGGCAGTAACACTCAGCCTTGTTAAAGGGTCAGAGATTAAAAGATGGATCTTTTTCAGGAACGTTGGTTCTGGAGGATGCCCAGCACTGTCCCTCCTGCTCCTTACCAAATATCCATGAGCGCAGAGATGGGATTGCTGTGCAGCTGGCAAAGCTTTCTATGTCTCAGGAGTGGCTGGAGTGGAGTACTCAGTTCTGTGTTTCTACATGGGGTTGCTAGCAGGACAGACGGTGTGCCGTAGTGGAGCCGGCTGATGTGATCCGAAAGCAAGGTGGTGGTCTGGGTCTCAAAGGGACCTGTGTACCTTTGGTTCTTAAAGTAAGCAGGCCAGCTGAATGCTCTGTCTACATTGAGACTGTGTGTTCTAGTATATTTGGGACCATGGACTCACTGGATCCAGGCTCAGAGCTTGGGACAAATCCTGGCAAATTGTAGGGTAATAGATGAAAAGCTAATTCTTATTATTATAATTACAACTGAGGCAGAGGAAGAGGAGGAGTATCCAGGAATTACCAGTAGCACAGCACTTCAACAGCTAATTAAATCGACGGGAAGTTGGCAAGGATGTGTCTCTTCCGTGGTGGCGAATCTCTCAGCTGAAGGTCACTTTGTCAAGGTCTTCTTAAGTAGTCCAAAATTTCTAGTGCTAGAGAATTGAGGATAGCTAAGCCACAGGCCGTATAAACACAACAGTGTGTGACTGAATGAGGGAAATCTGTCTGTCCGCCTCACTCACACACGCTTAAGCAACTTCCGTGTCCCCGGTAGAGGACTGGAGTAAACATGTAGAGTTGAGGCTGGGTGGGTGGTCTCTTACTTTGGGAACTCAGTCTGAAGTCCACGCTTTGAAGCTTGAGGCCTGGGGTATAGATAGTCACTACATTCAGAAAAGGGGTTCCCTGGCAGATCAGAAAGAAGGCTGACCTGCAGGGGTAAGTGTGTTTAAAACAGACACCTGGCTCATCTAGTTCTGCTTAAAGTTTCCCACAGGATAAAATTCCTACCAGTCTTCGGGATTCACACGTGTGAAGTCTAAATGGCTCTCCATACAAGCAGACAAGGGAGGATTTTTGGTTACTGTTAGTCTGAATTCTCTGGGTATCATGTTAAAAAAAAAAAACCTCCTTTCTAAAAGGGAATGTTTTAAAGGGAAAACCGATAACTAAAAATTCATCTGCCGTGCCAAAGCCACATGTTCAAGGGGAGGCGTACAAGCCAAATTAGATTTCTAGCAAATAGATATGAGCAGAGAGTGGCCTCACAGTGGGGGGAAGTGCGCATGCCATCTTAGCTTGCTGAACTGGGCCCTTGATGTCTGACGAGTCACAAAGGACCATTGGGAATTCCAGGATGGACATCTTTTTGTGTATAGCTCACAGGCAGGGAGACCTTGGTGGTGTGCACGGATTAAAAGTCCTGTGTAGAGATGTGTGTTTTGAGAGCGTGATTTGAAGAAGCTGAAAGTAGAGTTTGAAGCTGAAATGCAGAATGTCTTCTCTGCTTACCAGGCTCTGCCCAGACTTAGCAGTGCCCTGTGCTTCCATCCCAAGTAGACACAAAGTCCTGGCAGTGTCCCATAATCAACTGCAGTTGATTTGACTGCAGTTGATTTGGAAATTGGGTTGGGCCAGTGGGGTGTGTGGGTGGGTGGGTGTGTGGGTGGGTGGGTGGGTGGGGGTGGTCTTAAACTCAGCTGATTAAGAAGCTAGTAAACACCTGGTATTTGTGTGTGTGAAAAAAGTTTGAGTAGTCTGTTAGAACTGTTGTCTTGTTGGGAACTGAAAATTAATTTAGTTAGCTGTGTTTTAAAACTACTTCTGATAAGACTGTGCACATTATCCCTAATAGGACTGGATTGTCATGGTCCTCCTCTCCTGGTTCTCCTTCAGAGAGGGGTTTTCATTCCGTGGGTTTCTAAAGTGTAAGAAGCTTATTAGATAAGTACTGTGGAAAAGACCTACATTGAGTTCTGTTGATCCAAAAGTCTATCCACACGTCCAATTTCTACAAGATTGGCAAGTGAGTGAGGTGGTTGCAAAGGAGCTGGGGAAGGGGGGGTATCATTGATTTAGTCTAGAAAGTTCTGCCTTTGGAAGTGCTTCATCCCCGGAGCCAGTGCAATAGCCTTGCCAGCCTCTTATCTCCCAGTGGGTGCCACCTGGGCATAGTGCTGTGTAGGGTGGCTCCCACCTCCTAAGGAAGTAGCAGCTGAGGTGCTAAAGAAAGCACTCAGGCTTTGGTGAATGAAAGTCACGTGGCCAGTTCTGCTTCCTTTATTGAAAGAAAAGCCTTTACTGAAGTAGTTCGGAGAAGGAAGGAGGGTGGGGCCAGGAAGCCTGGGTTCTGGTTGCTAATCTTCTCCAGAGAGCCACAGACTCACATTGTCCGCAGTTGATTCCCATCCTAACCCTGCTGGGGTGAGGAAAAGAAGGGTGTCTTAAGCCCGTATAGGGGAAGTGCTAGGAAAACAGCTGCTCCATGCTGCCAGGAATGTGGGCAGTGAGGGTACTTTGAAAATAAGCACTCTTAAATTAAAAATTAGTAAATAAAAGCTGATCGAAAGGGCAGTACTTGGAGACTGGAGGCCATGCCTTCCGAACCGCTTACCTTCCTGTCTCATTGTTGTCTGTGCTCCTGTCTCTAAAGAGCCACACCTCCTTTCTTTAAGAATTCAGCCAGGTAGGTAGCTCAGCCTTTTAGAGCAGTGAGAGGAGAGCAGCATAACAAAACAAGAGAAGATCCCAGAATTTAAAAAAAGAGAAAGAAAGAAAAAGAAAAGAAATTCAAATTACATAGTAGCAGAACAATGAAAAACAGACCTGCTGTCTGCCCTGGCTTCAAAGCACACTTTATATTCCCTTCTGTGATGTCTTCAGGTATTAGGAACTGTTGACAAGGGGAGGATGTATAATTAGAATGTACATTTTAGAAAACTGACTCTTAGCATTGGAAGTTCTAATCTAACGGCCGAGCCCTTAAACTTCCGGTGTTTAATTAGCCAGCATTCTGTTCAGCAGGGATTCGGTTCTGTCTGTTGACTTTACTTGGAGGTGGTCACTCCTGAAGTTTTGATTTCAGCACTGTGCTGTCTGTCTGTAGGGTAGAAAAATGCTGGATTCTTGTCCCCCCACCCCTGCTCCCGCGCCCAAGCAATTTTAATAACAGCAGTTGGGCATAAAGGCGTTCTGTTACAATCCTACTAACAGCTTTTCTTTGGAAGCATATTCTAAGAGCTAGGTAACTTTGCTATCAGATTTGGCAAGCAGGCCGGCTTTTTGTTTTGTTTGGGGAGGGGGGCCTTGGATAGCACAGAATTGAATGTTCTTTGTTCACCTTGGAAACAAGGGAAAATGTAACTTTATTCTTGTATTCACATTGCCAAATAGGGTAAGGGCCACTATGACTCAGAGGGGAGAGGAGACCCAGTTGTGGTAGGGATAGACTCTCCGCTAGTCTCTCTAGACCAGCATGAATAGAGTGTATGGTTTAATATAAGACGTGCCAAGCATTTTAATGTTGACATTTTAGTACACATTTTTTGCATCTCTAGAGTGAATGGCTACAAAGGTTGTGTACCGTTTTTAGCTATGGGTTTGGGGGCAGCAATGCTTTCCAGATATAAACAGAGTACTCTATTCATTTTAGTGTTTTGAATGCATCAGTCAAGACTGCAAGTGGGAGGAGGTAGTTGAGGTGGGTAGCAAAAGGGAGGGTAGGTGTTTCTGGAAGGAGATGCTGACATCAGTGGTAGCCACTGGTCTTTGAGCGTCTTTTGGGGGTAATTTCCTAGGCTCATTCTGAGGGTGCCCTGAAGTAACACATGCAGAAGAAAGTTGGACTAGACAGGGGAGCAAGCTGCACACAGGAGCTGCTTGTTAGGTACAGAATGTGCCAGACACTTCTGAGCTTGGCAGTCTTACTTCTTAATTTAATTCATTGTGTTAAAATGCTGAAATAGAGTTGGTTTAAAATGTACAGGCAGCATGTGGATGATAAAGCAGTTCATTTAATAATTACAATTTCTTTTCCTGTTAAAGTAGAAAAAAAATACTGTTTTACCCAGTCATAGTTATTTGTCCAAAAGACGTGCTAAAAAGAGTAGGCAAATGATTTAAACCCCATTCCACTTTCTTGT